TTGTATAGTTTTGTCGTATTTAATCATGTTTGTTAAATATTAACAAAGACACGACCTTGAAAAATAAATTTCAATATCTCTTACTAAAATTATATTACAGATCGTTTGTTTCTAATAAATTTTATTAGAAAAATATCAGAATAGTTCCAATTAAAATAAAAATTTAAAAAAAAAAAAGTGCGTTTTTTCTTTCATAATCAATATTATCTGACATTTATCAGATAAAAAAATGAGATTAATTACTTCTAATGACAAGTCAATACAATTTTTTCAACTTGTTCTTTCTTAAATAGCAGGTAAATATGTCGAATTTTCATTTATACGAATTAATTTCCAAAGTACTAATTTAAAACTATTAAATATTATGCAAAATTTTCTTTCGTTTTTTTTTGTATTTTAAAAATTATTTATAAACGATTTTTGTTTTACATTTTTAAATTTTAACTAAATATTGTTCGGTTCCCTTTGGTTTTTTTTGTTTTGTGGACATATACCAAAATAAATATCTATGAAAATATCATGCATCATTTAGCCGACTTAGTAACAAAAATAGTTTAAAAATTCAAGCTATTTAAGCAAGAAATCATCTATAACAATATTCTTAGGGATAAAAGCTATTTACATAATCCCTGCGGAATTAAAATGTGAAAGATGATGTTTCTACTCTTGCAAATCAAAAGCAGATTATTCTATTTTAGGATACATTTCTTTAATCCTTTTACTTAATACTCTACACATATAATAAGCAAATAGTTTACATGTTACTAACAATCTTTGATTGTTTATCAATAACATCCATTACGATCGGTACGGAAACGGATGTCTAAATTTTGACCACTATACTTCAACATTGCTATTAGACCATTTTTTTTTTACAAAAAAAAAAAAAAGAATCGAAATTGTTTGTCTTCGTCAAAGTTGATAGAGTTTGAAGAGTACTTTCGAAAATTGTCCATAGTAATAATTAAAAGTTCAATAGACTCATCTGTCATAAAAACAACAAATCAGTCGATTAAGTTCAATTAATAATTAAGTTAGACGAAAAAAAACTTTTCGGACATTCGAATTTTCATCTTACTTTTAAAATTGCAAATATCATTGAGATTCTTGAAAAGAAAATTCTTTACAATTATAAGAAATTTTTATTCAATACATGAAGATTTATTTGTTGTTTAATTCATATAGATTAAGAGTCTTAGCTATTATAAATATAATATGTAGATAAATATCATCAACAAGCAATCATGTCATCAATGATAAATATTGATCATGATTACAAATATAAAAAATAAACTTATGAGAGAGAGGCATTAACTGATCAATCGCTTTTGCGTTGAGACTATGTGCGTATATGTAGGTATAAATGAGCTATGAATACCATGAAAAATAGTTCGGGCCGCTTTCTCATATATTACGGAGATACTGCACTTTTACATTGTGATTTTAAATGAGTGCTGTTGATCCACCTCAGGAACATCAGAAAAAATTATTTTCGAATTTCAATCTGAAACTTTACACAGAAACAGATCTTACTGAACAATAGTATTTTGTGAAAGTTTCAGACCTTTTTTGCTGTTCCTATCTCAAGTTGCAACTAGGATAACTTCATTCCGATACACCAAATGATTTGATGTTCTTGTTTCAGGATAGAAATAAATCAAAACATCAGAAAATATAATGCTCAGTAAGATCTGTTTCTGTGTAAAAGTTTCAGGTCGAAATTCGACAAGCATTTTTTTCTGATGTTTTTGAGGAGGACCATGGCATTCATTTAAAAGCTCACTGTAAAAGTGAAGTATCTCCGTAATATATGAGCAAGTGGCCCAAACTTTTTTCACGTTATTCCTAACTTATTTATACCAACATAAGGCACATAGTCTCAACTGAAAAGCGATCATTTCTCGTTAGTTATTTTGAAAAATGATCTATAATTCGATTTAAAATTTATATTAGAAATAAACATCTATGAAGTTTTATTTTAATTATTTTGATAAATATCTGCTTCTCTTTTTTAAATCTTTAATTGAATAATATTCTTTACATAAGAATTTCAATTTAATTGAAAATTTCTCTATGAACAGATAGAATCTAATCGTTTCCTAATATCTATATTAGTTTCTTAGTGATCTCAATTCAAAAGTAATATTATCAAATTTAATAACCTATGAAAGAAATTTTAAAGGATTAGTTTTTTTTTTTTGCTTGAAAAATCTTTGAAAACTGAAAATGCATCATTTTTATGTATTCCGTTTTTTTCAAATTTTTATCATAAGAATTTATTTACGAAAAATAAAATCTTACGTTTGACATAATCATTTTGTTTTTTTATTTTTTAAGAAATACAAATAAAAAAATAGCTAAGACTAGAATATAATACTAGTTTTAAAATGTAAATTATTTTTGTAAGAGAATAAAGTATTTAAGATTTTTTCAAAAAGAAGTATAGTATGAATGTTAGTCAATTGATCTTTCTATTGAAGAGTTTTCTGAATACGTCTACGTATATCCTTTACGATACTTCACAGAAAGTTAGTTATTATCATAAAAACTTTCTAAAAAGAAATTAATGTAAATTTTGCTGTTAGAAATAAAAGCTCTAAGTATTCTTCGATAAATGAACAAAAGAATATATATATATTGTTTTCGTTGAATAAAACAAAACATGTTAACTAACTTTTGTCGTCTTTGGGCTAAATAATTGTTATGTATAAAAATAAACGGATGTAAAATTAAAAGATTTTTATTAGGTTGTACAAATACATTAAAATATTAGATTTTATCTAAAATTAAAATTTAATATAGATTATATATATAACACATTATAAAAGAAACAAAAAATCTTTTTGTTTTTTTCTTAATAGCCTCTTCAATATCAACAAGTAACTAATCATTCTCACTCACATTGTAAGTATTTATTTATAATAAGTAAAACAAAAAAATAATAAAACATAATTCTTTTTTTCTCTTATTTTAAAGTTTCAGACGATAGTGATTACACATCAGATGTATCTTATCCAATAAATACTCAAGCTAATTTAAATTATCCAGTATCATCTATGTCACAATCGAATGTAGTACCATTAACAAATGAAAATATATCTTCATCAACATCAACTAAAAAACCATTAGCATTTGTTCAACCACTTATTAGAGATTTACATTCAGTACCAAACACATCTCGAAAAACAAATCAAAATCAAATACTAAATAGAACTTCATTCATAGAACAAGAACCACTTTCATATATTAGTCAACCGAGAAAATTACCTATCAATAACATGACAGATCTAAATCAAAATGAAAAGTAAGAAACAAAAAAACAAAACGTATATATCATTATTTATTGTTGTCTCGTCTGTGTATTATATAAATAGAAATATGATAAATACTATTCATTCAGGTAATAATTGTTGCTGCTAATGCTGCATGCAACTATCACGGAAAAAAAAAACGAGACATCTGCATTTAATTCACATGTCTAACATTTATTGTTTTTGGAGAAAACAGAATAAGATTAATATGCACATTGATTTTATTTTTTGTTTTTTGCATGGTATATGTGTGTTTCTTTTTATTTGTCATGTTTTGAAAAACATAGCTAACAATTCTTTTTTTTTCGCATTGAATGATTTTATTTGTGAGAAAAAGAATTAATGTTGAAAGCAAAGTTGTTATTCTATGATAAATGATGAATATGAAATAACTAATTGAATTGTGTCAAGTACGGCTTGAAAGAGAAAGACGATACTTATAGTATTATTTTGTCGCTAACAGATATAAACATTCCAAGTTACAATCAATTCATCTATACAAGAGGGAATTATAAAATTCAACATTCTTGTTTATTAACAAATGAGAAAAATTTATTACTGTCAAGAACACCTGCTAACTAGATTAGATAATTAACATAGAAATTTATTTCACTTTTTTTCTTTTTTTATGATTTATGTTTTTCTTCTCTTTTCTATCTATGTTTTGTTTTTTTTCTTTACACATGTCAATGTAATAATGCATTAAGTTTTGTTCTTTTTATTTGTGTTCATCTGCCCCTGTTAACATTGACAATTGAGTATGATTTGATAGTGAAATAGAATGTCTATAACTATAATCATCACGTAGAGATGGATGAGAATGAATTTCTCGTTTTTACCATTATTGCAGATTTGCTTTTCTGCATAGGCAAACATTTTTATTTGCTTGTTCGACATATAGATGAATCTTCTCTGCACACAATATACACACATATATATATGTAATAAAACAAGGAAAAAAAAACTAAGGTGAAGGTTCTCTTGATATTGCTGAAAACGAATATTTTCTCGGTTTTTTTATTCCAAGTTGTAAAACAATAATTGAGAAATGTTTCCGTTTTCTATCTATGAATACCGTCTAGACTCTGATTACTTCGATCGATCAATCAAATAATATCAAGAGAGAAAAAATGCCATTTCATTATCCGGATTTTCTTTATCTATGCATAGAGAGAGAGAGAGATAGAGAAGACTATTTGAATGATAGTCAAAAAACCGGTTATATCAACGCAATTGAGACGATGTACTTTCCCTTTCTCTCTATCTCTCTATCTGTCTATCAATCTATTGCATTTGAATGGAATAGCAAAAACAAAAGAAAAAAAGCAAAAGAAAGGAAAATGGAAAAAAGCGAAAAGAAAAAGACTTAAGAAATGCAACTCGTCGAACTGCTAAGTAAAGAAAGAAAAGAGAGAAGACAAGAGAACGAAGAAAAATCAATGTCGTTTTTTCTAATTTATTAATGAGCAAATACACATTCTCGCATTCTCACCCTCCTCCTCCTCCTCTTCCTTGCTACTGCCTGGAGGACAGAGGACCGGATACAGGACGATGATGACGAGAACGCGCCGACGAATCGTGCGAAGAAAATCTCTGCTGTTTTTTGTATGTGTATTACTGACATAGAATAACGAAGACACAGCTTGTTAGTGGTGCTTCTCGTTCTCGTTCTCGTTCTTGTTCACCATCATGTTCGGTTGGTTGCGTGATGTACTTTCCAATACTCCATCATCTTTCGGTTATCATCATTCAAATACACCTTCATCATTTGTTCGTCAACAAAAACAAAAACAAAACCAAAAAGAACGAATTTCTTCCGATGATGATGATAATATTAATCAATTAAATGATAATTCATTTTATCATAATCCATATCATTCAAGTGGACAAATGAATTATATCGATGTTCCACAACAACAATATACTAATGATCATACTTATCCAACTTATCTTGCACGACAACAATTATCTGATACAACAAATCAAACACTTGATGATCAAATTCACTCGAAATTATTATCATTAAAACAACGTTCAACTCAAGTTCAATGTTATGCACATAGACAAAATAATTATGCATTTAGAAATAGATCTATACCAACAACAGTTCCATCTTCAACACTTCATTCTTCATTAATTTCTAGTCGAAACGAACAAAGGAAAATTGATAATGAGGAGCGGTCTGATGACGATGAACAAGGAGAAGAAGAAGAAGAAGATGATGATGATGATGATGATGACGATGATGGCAGTGATGATGGTGCTAGTCATGATGGTGATAATAGAAGATCATCATCACTTGGAAATTATCATGGTATTCCGGGTTATTATTCTGGTCAATATCCAAATATTGATGAACAATTTGATTTTGCATCGGTTGTTTTTTGGTACAAAAATGTCATGCAATCCGTTAAAAAATTTCTGTGAGTGGAAAGAAAATCTCGTAATTTAATCATTAACTATATCGGAAAAGAAAAGAAAAGGCTAAAGGAAATGAAAAGAAATTTATAGAAGTGCATAAGTCAAGTAGTGACTAGAGATAAAAAAAAAGAAAAAAAGAAAAGAACAATACTTTTATTATTTCCAACTTCAAGATACTTCTTAGGTTTTATCTTTTCTTCTATGTCACATAACTTCAACATTTGATTTATTTACTTTTGTTGACATAAAATACACATCATATGATAATTTTTGTCTTTCTTATTTCCATTAAATTTTCATAGATAATTCTAAAAGTTTGCTTGAATGATTTCTAAAAAGGAAAACAATTTATCATATTAACAAAAATGTTGTCTGAAATAAAAAAATTTAAACATTTCCTGTATTAAAATAAATGTTTTCCATTAGGATTTTTTTTTTGTTTTTTGTTCTTGAATAAAATGACAAAGAAATAATTGTTTGAAATAATTTTACATTGAAATATTACAAAAGAAAGAAATTCGAGTAAAATGAATAATAAAAACAATTACGAATTATTAATGAAATTATCTTTCAGTCTCACTATGTAAAAAACAGAAGAAAATTAATCGGATGATAGAACATATTTGTATATATATTTCTCATTTCTTTTTTTTTTTTTTTTTTTTTGTTTCCGAAAGAAACAAATATTCTTTTCTTTTTCCTTGATATACATCAATTATAGTAATAGAGAATTTCTGTCATCTTTCTTAACAAGGTTCTAGTGGATTAATTTTGATTCCGGATATTATAACGAGACAAATGTTCTCAACTATCTTTTCATTACAGTCATTAAATTGATATGTCTTTTCAAGGCTTTAGTTTTTTTGTCTCTGAGAATTATTTTAAACAATCAATAAACAAAAAAATAGAAGAATACTTGAGAAGTAATTTAATATTTTCAATGATAATTGTCTAGTTTTTAAGATTATTATGATCTTTCAATTGTTTATATTCGTATAGTTATTTTATTATATCATAGAAAACGAAATTATTGATCAAGTAATGCGCAGAACTAACATATGCTTTTTTTTTTTTTTCTCAAGTATTTTAAGTATCATTTATAATCATTGATTCTATTTTCTAAAGTATCATTCTATTTTATTTTATATTATATAATTTTATATGAATATTGCATGAAAAAATTTTTAATACATACATATATATATATTAATATTAATATTATAATCAAATAATTTAATAATCTTTTTTTTTTTTGTGTTTGTTTTACTAACATCGTGTCAATTAAAACTCGAGAATATAAACTAATTGAAATAATATTTGCTTGCTTTTAAAATATAGTATATAAATAAAAATTAATTTTTTTTTTTTATTTTCTTTTAGTCCAAACAGTCATAATTATGTTCATTCTGAAAGAGATGAATATAATAATCATCATTATTCCATAAGTAGTAAAAGTCCAATAATATCAAAAATATCTAATGAAGAAAAACTTTTATCCAATGATGATGATAATAAACGAATACACATTCCATTATCATCATCAAAAGCCAAATGGATTGACGCTGTACGAACAGTAACACAATTAAATCAAGTAAGACAAAAACAAAAAAAAAAAGAATCAAATGTTAATTAGACATATGTGCATTCATAGAGAAAATATTTTCATTATGCTAGATTAACGTCTATGACCTTAATTTAACTGAATTTTTTTCCTATTAACTTTTACCAGATTTGATTTCAGATATATTGTTCTTGTAACTATTGCAAATCTAATGTCGTTATATATTCTAAATATAAATTCTTTTATATAATTGTTTATTTAACATATACTATTCTTAGTTTTATTTATTCAAATAGTATATAAGAGGTTTTATCGTAAAACATTCAAATCTCATTAATTATTTTTTATTTAACATATAAATAAAATATTAATTTTCCACAAAAGAAATGAGAATAAATCCTTTTCTCTATTAATATAACGTTAAAAGTAAAAAAAGACATATCATTAGTCTAGAAAAAAGAAAAATCAATAAGGATTTTTTTCTATCCACATATGTTATTTTTCTGGTTCATATAAAAAAATTCTTGATGCAAAGAAGGATGCTCACAGCTGTGTATATATATTCATGTTGTTTAAGTATAATATAGTACACGATTATGTTGAGTTTTTCGTCTCGTTCTAGAACTTCAATGAATTTTTCTTCTTTGTAACAGCTGCTCCTTTGATTTTCTATAATCAAAACAATAAGAGAGAAGAAAATATATAAATTTTTTTTTTCTGTTTATCATTCGATGAAGTATATACTCGAAATAGTACTCTTACAAATAAATAAATAAATCCATACAAGGAAAGAATGTATTCAAATCTTAATTCTGTTATAATATTCGATCGACATCGTTCATCAGAGACAACATCAGATGTTGGAGAATATTTATATGATAATGATTTAGAATGGGATCAATCAGATTTGACTTATCATTTACCAGAGTCTGATGTATTATCATCATATGATATTAATGAAATTGCTGAAATATTATGTAATCATTATCTTGAGTTTAATATATCATCACAAATAGATGAATGTTCAACACCTATTTGTCAATCAACAATAAATGATATTATTATTCCTATAAAATCAAATAATGATTCAAAAAAAGAAAATTTTCTTGAAAATCATTCTGATAGATATTTAAATAAAAATTCAATAATAAGACATCGATTATACCGAAGTTTATCTAATTTAAATTCAATAAAACAACAAAAAACATATTTTCTTTTATCAAAACATTTATCATTAATGAATATTAAATCAATTGAATGTCAATTTTTAAAACATTCAACATCATGTAAAACTATTTTAATAAAAGAAAATGATGGTAAATCATTTCTTTCTATACCTCAATCAATTGAATTTCAATCAGAACCAAAATTAATTAATACAATAACAAATATCAACATTTCATCTTTATCACAATTCGAGTTAATTCATTCATATTTAACTCAATTGAAAAATAAAGTTTATTCATTTACTTTACAAATATTTCAATCAACAAAAATACCTCTTATTACAACAGAAGAAATTATTCAAACTTATGACATTATTGAAGAATAAATTTACATAAATAGTTTTCGTTTTATTATCATTCAATACTAAAAAAAAATTTCATCAATATAATAAATAGATCATATTAAAAAGTATTTGATTTAAATCAGTGAATTCGAAATTCAAAGAAAAGAGTCAAAAACTTAATTACAAAAGTACTTTGAAAGATTTTTATACTTTTTATCACATTTAGGAAATCTATTATGTAGAAAATATTCTGAATTTTTTTTTTTTCATCAACAAGTAACGAATAATTGTTATGACAAAGTGCAAACTCATAATATGTACTTCATTATTATTACAGATTTAATCAAAATGATCTTTGTACTGTATAATATGAGAATTTGAATGTATCTTACTAATGGCAATAAACTAATTAATTGAAATTATTTTTTGTTTCTGAATTAGGATTAATGAAAAATCTTGTTTTTTTTTTACTCTTTGTTAATTTTTATTACTGTTTAACCTAGATGATAAATATGTAAGAGAAAACTTTGCGCTAATTATTTTCTACTACTCTGAATATTATCGAGATGATCAATCGTTTAGAAATAGAGATAAGTATAAAAATAGACAGGTCTTTTCTTTTTGTCCTTGTAACGTTTGATGAAAGTGATAGTTCCAATTAATATGAAGAAACTCAAGATAGACTTTATCCTTGTTGTTTTTGTCAAGTCTCTTGATTATCATTCTAGATTGATTGCATATAATCATCTTTCATAGAAAAAAAAACAGGAAACATTCAAAACTTTAGAAAAAAAAAAAAGATATTTTTCTGTGATTAAATCTATTTGAAAAATTAGCTATATTTCTTTAAATAATGAATTAGAATGGCGTAGAATATATTTTCTTTTGTTCATTTCAATTACTCATATAAAAACATAATATTATAATGAATTGATTTTCCCTAAAGAAAACTAAATATGTCAAATAAAAAAAGATGATTCTTTTAGTAAATTAAGTCACATAGGAACAAAAAGAATGTTGATTATTATTCATATTCTTTTTCTATTTCGTTTAATACCTTTCTTGCTTTCTCTCAGTTGTTATCTATCGACATTGACAATTATTCCTACTGTTGCTTTACTCATTTAATAGGCTAAGTGTGTTTTTATCTGGTCCATCAATGTTTCTCTTTTTCTCGGTTATTTTCTTAGCTATGTTTTGTCGTCCTAGTAGCCATAGAAAGTTATTGCGTGACATTATGCCCAACAAGAAGAATGAAAGAAAAGAGAAAAACAACAAGTTCTACATTAGTATTTCTCTTTCTCATTTCTTCTTCTTCTTCGTTTTTTTTGTTCCTTTGTCTTTCTTCTATGTTTTATGAAAGAGACAAAAAAAAAAGAAGATGGTACTGTCTTCAGGATGATACCGTAAGCGAATATCCATCATCCTAATAAAACTAGATGAGAATATGTATTATATCCATGGTGTACCGGTTTGTCCACCATTATGTCCTCCTTTATCACATACCGATTTAGTTTCTTCATCTGAAGAAAATCTTAATCATCGATCAAATTTTTCAACAAATGAAAAATTAAGTACATATGCCAAACAATTTAGTCGTCATTTTGTTTTTCCATTTTCTCGAAAAGAAAATTTTGATGATGAAACAAATATTGATGAAGAATTCGATGAAATATCTTTATCAGACAATTATTGTGTGAGTTTTTTTTAAAGAATATTATTTATCATTATAGTAAAAATGATTAAATCTGTTTTTAATATAAGAAAATAAAAAGAAACATATTATCTTTTTTTTGTTATTTTCATAGAATTCTCATGGTAAAGCAGAAAATCTTAATGATGAAAGAACGAATACAAGACAAAGTTTAACATTAGTTGGTACTGATGGGTTACCGATCACGAAAAGAATTCTTCCAGGCATAACTAATATTACAAATAATCATAATAACAAAATAACTGATGATGGAATGGGAAAAACGACAAATGGGGGAATTAACAATGGAAAGTATGTTCTATGATTTGACTTTTTTATATCAAAAATCATGATAAATAAATGATTAATCCTACAGTTTTGCCTGAAAATGTGATAGATTAATCAATAATCCAATAAGTTAGAAAAAAAAAAGGAAGTTTTTCTAATTTTAGAATATCGAAAGAGAAAAATTAATAATTTATTTTTCTTGAACATCGAATTTTTTCAATTAATTAATATTCAAGAATTTTTTTTTTTTTAAAAATATTTCATATTGAATAAGTCAAAAAATCAATTTGAAATAGAATATATCTTTTTCTAATATCTTAATAATTATAACTGATGTATCTATTATGTAATAATTATCAAAGTGTTCTATGATCATTTTATTCAATATGTATATATAAAAGAAAAATTCCTATAATATTATGTTGATTAGATAATATAACATATGTTACTTAGCTTCTGCTTGTTCTTATAATAAATAAAACATATTTTTTTTAAATTTAAGAGAAACAAAAAACATAGATCATCAATATTTTCTATATGAACTCTTTCATTTTTTTCTAATAAAATCCAATGAAGTAAATAATTGAATTTTAAATTCACATATTTGTAGTAAGATAATAAGATATTGTATAGAAAACATCGAACTAATAACAAAAAAAAAACGTCATTCTGTAAGACGAACTCTAATAATTGTTGAAAGTTGACAATTAATTATGATAAAAGATTACGACATGTTTGTCGTTTTATTTATCTGATGTTTAGCTATCTGGAATGGCTTGTTTATAATATATATTGTATGTTTAATGGGATTTTCAGATAACTGTTCTGAAAAAATTAATCGCTAATTTTTTTTTTTGTTTCTTGTTAGTTATTCTTTGTTCCGTATGATAAGATGCCGCTTTAATAGAATTCATTCAGTCATATTAAATTAATGAGAAACAAATATGTCCGTTTAGTACTATTACATTAGAAAATGATGTTGAAACAAACCTTTTTTGTTTTTGTTTAATTTAAATTTAATATTATTTATTATTCAATCTATTTCTTATATGTTTAATCTAATAAATAAATAAATATTAAAATATTAAAATTTTTCTTTTGTTTTTATTATGATTAATTTATTCAATGATATATAAAATGTTTTTTTTTTGTTGTCTAATTAATGTCGAACAAGAAATCTGATATATTTCTTTCATATGACATTATAACCTTATATAACATATGACAAGTTGTTTAATATGTCAATCATAAGACTTGTTCGAACAAATTCAATTAAATAGGATTTATTTGATAATTAATCAAATAAACTGTCAGATTTTGAACTAAATTTAATCTTAATTTAATATAGAATAAGATCAATTTAAACATTATGTAAAATGACAAATAGAATACTTTAAATAAGTCTTAGTTTATTTATTGAAAATGTTTTTTTTTTTTTTCGAGAAAAGATATGATTAATTTTTGTTTTCTTTATTCTATTTAATCAAAGATCAAATAATAAAATAGGAAGTCATAGACTTTTGTTCAATCAGAAAAAGATTCGTCTTTGAGAGAAAAATAGTTACTTACCGAACAATTTTAACTTTTTTTTTTTCTCGATCGATCAATGATTATTTACTTTACAACAAAACAAAAGAGAGAGAGAGAAGAATGCATAATAGTTATGAATTGTCATATGAATGTTTTCTATTTAACATACTTTTTTATTATCATTATTAATTAACAATGTCTAATAATAATGATATAAATGATAATCATTATGAATTTATGCGTCGTTATACACAAGAATATTTACAACAATTATTTATATTTAATGAAAGAAAATCATTGAGAAGTCGACGATACTCACAATTTCCTTTATACTTAGACGATTGGTTGGATATTTTCTTTAAAAAAAAACAAATCATTTAATAAATGGTTATAAAATTTTTTTTTGTTTTTGTTTATTTTCTTGTTTTAGTAATGTATCCGGTGATCAACAAGTAAATAATGCATTTTATAATTGTATTGATAGTGCACCGGATATACCTGAACGAGGAAAAACTGTTCCATTGGGTCTTGATATGGTATTAATTAAATTAAATAAAAAATTTTCTTATCTTTGTGTATGTGTATGTGTTTTTTCTTAAAGGGTTTATCACTTAGTAAACGATCAGCTGGAGTTCCAAGTGCTATTGGAAGACATAATTTAAATGATGAAGAACTTGTAAATAAATTTAAATCAATAATTAATTTCTTTATTTGTGTTTTGTTTTAATATATAATTTTAGCGTACACATGTATATAAAAAAACTCTTCAAGCATTAATCTATCCAATATCATTAACAACTCCTCATGATTTTGAATTTTGTTCATTTACACATCCAACATATTGTTATGAATGTGAAGGTCTCCTATGGGGTATTGCAAGACAAGGTTTAAAATGTCGAGAATGTGGCGTTAAATGCCATGAAAAATGCAAAGATCTTCTTAATGCTGATTGTCTTCAACGTAAGCAATTTTTTTTATTCATTTAATCAAAAACTTATGTTATTATTATTGATTTTTGTTGTTGTATTACGAAAATTAAGCTTTTAATATAATTTTTTTTTCACATGTTTTTGTCTGTCTGACACATATTCGAGTGCATGTCATTGTTGTTTCAGTTTCATTAGTTTCCATGGTCTATCCGAATGATGATCCAGAAAAGACTTTCTACATGATCGTCGAGGAGCAACGTATGAATCAGTATAGAGTTAATAAAATATATGCTTTATTTAAATGAAACTTTAATTTATTATCAAAATGCTTTGAATCCTGCACGCTATTTACTTTGATTTAAGTCTCGATCATTTATAGTTTGCTTGTTTTTTTTCTTCACAGTGTGATTATCTCTTTGCAAATTATTGAATTTTCTTCCTCATATATTGATAATGATGATCAAGTTCAATATTTCGAAAATTTTTATTTGATTTTGTATTTATATATAGGACGTGCACAGAAAAATGCCAAACATGGTGCCGATGACAAGGCAAAAAATTTAATGGAAGCAATGCATGAAAAAATGACACTCAGGGAAACG